ACTGATCCCTGTGGTACTCCACAGGTAACCTTTGAGCATGAGGAAGATTTTTCATTAATGTGAACAAAGTGAAATCTGTCAGATACGATTTAAACCTGCCTGCAGAGGTTCTGCTTTATCATAGTTCTTAGTGAAGATTTTAGTGACTCCATCTGCGATGTCTATTTAAATGCTGCACATCTTTAGCTGGTCCAGATGTTTTGCTAGTAAGCAGTAACCGCCCTGCAGCTTGTTGGAGAAAAAAAAACAGAAGCTTCATTTTAACTAGATAAAAGCCCAAACATCTGTAACTAACTGAGAAAAGAAAGGAAACAAACATGCAGGAAACATGCTGTTAGATGTTCTGGTAGAATTTAGGAAAAATTAACCAATAAGATGAAGACTCCAGGTGCTGCAGGAAGGCTTTAATCTGAATGACACGACTAACATGAGCAAAAATCTGTTTTTATTTTATAATGGGACCAGTTCTTCTGATCCAAATGTCGACCTCTGTGCTGTTTTCTGTCTGTTCTGCAGGACGCGGTGTCGGATAGAGAGTGCTGCAACGTCATGTGCAAATGTTCCGGAGCAGAAGGAATCCGAGGCTCTCGGGGCCCCCCGGGGTCAAAGGTGACCGGACTGCACGCGTTTGAACTTCACAGACATAATGAGCGTCAGAAACATCAGAGCAGAAACCTGCAGCTCTGGTCGGTTCTGATGTTTCAAAGGGAAGCAGGTCAGACTTGATGCATTCCTGGGACGCTGTGAAGCTGTGAGTCAGCAGATAGGCCTGGCGTCCACTAAGATTCCCAGCAAGGGACAGTTCCTCAACGCCTCTGAGATCTTTTTCAGTCTGAATCAGAAAAGAAATGTTTGTTTTGGCTCCTGATGAATAAATATTACATGTATTGATATTTAAAGTCCTCCTCAGTCTGAGGAGGAATAATGATGATGATCGCCTGGGTGCTTCTGAGGATGCAGGTTCTCTACAGGTGAAGCTTTCTGTGTCCTCTGCTGGACATTTCTGTCTCTAACTCTGTGGTGTCCTCCTGAACCAGGGCGTTCGAGGACAGAAGGGTTACGCCGGCTTCCCAGGAGAGGAAGGAGCTGCCGTGAGTCTCTCTCTTTGTATTCTTAAAGCTTTTATATTCAGCTTCACTCTGATTTATTCAGGCTATGGGGAGAAATTCATTCCAATATTATGCAGGGGAAAGTTGAAAAAAAAAAAGTCTTTTGAAGAAAATCTTGTATCAAAAGTGTAACTTTGAAAAAAATCTCAATTAAAAGAAGGCTTTAAGTGTCATTTATAATTTCCATGAAAAACTTCATTGTATATTTTTAAAGTTTGCTATTTTTCAGATTTTATTTTCGATTTTCATCAAATTTGACAAATACTTTTTTCAGATTTTATTTTCCAAATGTTTATTTTTTCGAGGTTTTATTGTTTCTCTGATTTTATTTTTTTTAAAAATTCAGAATCAGACATACTTTAATAATCCTAGAGGGAATTTACTTATTTCCATTAAAAAAAAAAAAAATTTTTGGATGTTTTTATTCAGATTTTCTTACAGTTTTTGTTCCATTTTCTTTATTTTCCTAATTTCATTTTATAAAGATTTCTTGAGATTTTGTTTTTATCCAGAATTTATATTCTATTATTTTTATTTGTTTCAAATAAAAAATTTTCATATTCAATTTCTTTTTTTTCTCAAATATTTGTTCTTTTATTCTATTCTTATATAAAGTTCTAACTTTTTTTCTAGATTTAATATCTCTTTTTTTTCTTTCAAATATTTACTCAGATTTTCTTTTTTTGTCAGATCCTATTTTTCAAAATTTTTGGATGGAGAATTTTTGACGTTTTATGAAGTATTCTTGTCAAACCTCACCGTATCGCTCGGTTTTCCTCGCACAGACCAATAGAATCGCTTCTGCTCTGTGTGGATTTTAGCAGCAGTCTTTCTAAAAATATTGGTAGAACTTTTGTATATAAATACATTTTTTTATTTCCTTTTCAAAGCGTGCTATTTGCTTTCAGAAATATTGGATCAGATTTCTCTCCATACAGCCGCCTTGCCTTTCTTCTCCATCTTGACGTTTCAGCTCATCTCAGCTTGTCTCCTGTCGTTTCTCTGAACTCGTCTTCTCTGGTCTCTCGTCTCCACGTGTTTCTTCTCGCCTCACCTTCTACAAAGAGTGTAAACCTCGCTGGATTCAGGCGTTCTGATGATGCGTGCTCTGGTGGCGATGCTGAGCATCAGAAGCTGAACCCAGCGGGAGGAACCTTTGCAGAACTTAGAGGTTCTGCCGGTTCCATCATGGGGAGGCTAACATGCTGAATGGGGTCTGTCTCTGCAGGGTGAACGAGGCCCCCCTGGACCCACCGGACCTCAGGGAGTCCAAGGCTGCCCTGGACTCAGAGGGCAGAAGGTAGAGTAGATCTCAGCACAGCATTAATCTCTGTGATCAGAACGGAGCGTCGGGTCTAACCGCAGTTTCTTGTCTCTGCAGGGAGGACGAGGCCTTCGGGGAGACAGGGTGAGTGAGTCAGAGCAGCTGGAATGAGCTGCATGGACTCTGGAATGTTTGGACAAACATCTGAGTCCAGATAAGGTCAGATTAGATGCTTTGCTTCCACCGCTGCAGGGTGAAGACGGAGAGGACGGCCTGAACGGAGTGGATGGAGAACAGGTACCAGCACCACACTGCAGCTACACCGGGTTCAGTGGCACCGAGCGGTCCAGATCATCTCCAGGTCTTAGTCTCATCCTGGATCTGAGTCAGAGACGCATGATCCTGAAAGTTTCTCTCAGGTTTTAGTTCAAAGCAGAAAGAAGGTCAGTTTTCAGTTATTTCTTCCCTCAACCTCCTCCTCTGGATCAGAACCTCTAGTCTGGGTCACATGGGGGACATTAATAGTCCTGAACTTGAGACACTAAAATTAGACACTAGAATTTTCTCTTATTTCAAATTAAGTCCATAACTCAAAGCCTGTAGATTTGAAGGGAGGACGTCCCCTGGGAAGACAGACGAGGAGCAGCGGGTTTCAGCACCGTCAGGACAAAACGTCCAGAACCAAACTGTTGACTTATGATTGAGTGGACTGTCCACAGAGACCCCTGCTGGTTAGAAAGGGGACTGCAGGCAGTATTAAC